GTTTTGTATTGGAATGCATAATAAAAGTGGCTATAGAAGATGCATTATAGCTACTTAATTCAATGGACCTGACAAATCTAAGGAAATAAATCAAATCCTTTCAACTACAACAAAAAGACTATCCTGAAGAACAATTTGTGGTAGCAGTATCTAAGAAAAAATAAAAAAGAAGGAACCTAGGTGCAAGCCACTTTTCAATGATGCTTCCAACTTCTGATATGCACGATGAAGTAGTATATTCTTGTTGGTTAGCTAGCAATAGAGTACCATTCGGGCGTAATGATCCTTCAATTTGTTTTTATTTTCATAATGAACAATTTTATTTATCTATATTTTAAAATTTTCTTAAATTTTCTAGCATGAAAATTTAGAGGACCAATATTAAAAAAATGATCTTATGCCATGGAGAAGGAAAACGTTGTTGGTAAATAGGTGAATAATATGCAAATAAATATGTGTGTGTGTGTGCGCGTGCGCCCTTGGGCGGCGCGTTTGTAGACAGTTGCGTTGTCAATCGTAAGACCTCTCTGACCCGGCTTAGATCCCTACGGGGACGGATAGCACATATGGGAAGCGGTATTCTCAAATACCGTCCTTTTTGAAATATACATATATACATATATATATACATAATATATATATATATATATAAACTCACAAAAACACATAAAAAATCAATACAAGTTCACCCAATGATGGCTATGCCATCGTGTTCAGTTGTAAATCTTACAATGATTTATTGTGTTTAACTACAATAATAATTTCTCAGAGATAAAAGACAGTGCCACCACTCTTTAAAAAGAGAATATAAAATCTAGTTAAAAAGAAAATAAATTTTGAAAGCAACCTTGCTGAAACCACCAAAAATATTAGACACTTTTCATGGGCAAAGCCCCTGAACTCCCAACAGGGAGGCTTCCTGCTCCCCTTCCCACTGTTGTGGTGATCTTAGCAAGAAAATGGACCTATGACTAGATCTGTGTAGCTCATTTTCCTTCTTAGGAAAAAAATTAAACTACATAACTTAATAAATGCTAAATACTATAATGATACTTGATGAAAATTGTGATGATGAAAGTGCTACTACTTATTCTAAATTTCACTGTCATAAATCATTCATATTGATTATCACTTAAGAAGATAATAACGAATGTGGGTCTCTTAACCTGGGCATTTTATATTGGGAGGATTTCATAGGTACTCATAATAACAAAATATTCTTTTATCTAACCTTTCAAAGTTCATGTGTCAAATATCAATCATCACATAATAAACATCTGATCCCATAAATAATCAAAATGTCAAGGCATGCCTATTAAAATCATCATACCCATGTTATTGGAACAATATATATATAATTCTAAGAAAATTTAAACAATGGAGTTCATGTGTATTTAATTGTCCATTCTCAATAAATAATTTACAATTAAGCAAGCATCATCACAATAAAGATAACTAGAATTCACATCAATAGAAATTTATGTCCTTGTATTCATGATCATGCAAGAAGTCATAATTCAAACATGTGTTGCAAACAAAAACACGGTAAATGTATTAAAATTGGTTCTGATATTTCAACTGATTTCAGAGGATTTGCTTATAAATTCTCAGATTTCAATATCACAACTAGGGCTTGCGAATAGTTCATGTTCGATTTGTTCGCTAAGCAAACGAACCAAATACAAATATTTTTTTTGCGCTCCTTATATAAATGAGCCGAACACGAATAAAAAATTGTTTATTCGTTTTGGCTCAAAACAATAAATTATCTTTGTGGCCTTGTGGCCAATTAAATTATTTATGAATATATATAATTGATGAGTAGTATTCATAAATAATTTAATTGGCCACAAGGCTACAAAGATTTGTAATCAATCAAAATTATTGATTTAAAAATAAAAAATATATATATATTAAATTCTATTTAAATGAATATTTTAATATAAATAATAAGATTTAAATCCTGTCCCTACCCTTAGCATCTTAAAGTTGCATGACTACGGCTGTCAAAACGACTCATTATTCACAAACAACTCGTGTTCGGCTCGCTAAGCAAACGAGTCGAACACGAACAGTGGTATTTTTTAACTAGTCGAGCACGAGCCAAATTTGGGTTCACGCAAACTCGGCTTGTTTACACCCCTAATCACACCATGGGATCCACCTTACAAACTAATTATTCAACATAAATGATAAGCACTAAATAGTTCAGCACTTATCTTATACCATACTAGTTATTTCCCCATATTTCTTTATTAATAAACTCATCAACTCACAGAAAGACTAACTATGAAAGTCTCTAAACATTGATAATTCAGATGTTAACTTCTTAATTAATCCAATATGGTTAGCATACGTACTATGAGATACGGATCTATTTATACTCAATGTAATCAAAACCTTTATCAAATGATGGCAAATTTTCTTCATTTACTGCAGGAAAACTTAGATAGAACCACTATAACCAATAATAAAACTTTAAAGATAAAACCAATAAAATAATAAAACATTTCTTTTAGTGTTAAATGATAATTTAAGCTTATGTCCAATTAATTTTGAAATATTAAAACAATATTAAAAACTTGTACTTAAGAAGTTATTTTAATTAATGAAAAACAATTTAACAAAAAGAATGGTTAGAGGCTTAGAGCTTATCGCCCCAATTCTAATCCAAGTAGGTGCATGCATGCAAACCATGTAATCCATACTAGATATTATTACACTTGAAAGGATTAGAAAAAATCCATAACAATCAATCAAATTTTAGCATCTTGTGTCTCAATCTCAAGTCAAATACATATGTATGCTAGATTTTAAGCAAGTTAATCACCCACCAATAAAAATATGTTGTCCTCAATACAAAGATCATATAGAACAACAACAACAGCAAGAAGACTTTATCCCACTAAATGGGGTTGGCTACATGAATATTTTTTTTTGCATTATGTCCTATTGAATGTCATATTGTCATTTAATTTAATTCTAGTAAATTACGATCATTTTTTATACAAAATACCCATATCTTTTTAGGTCTACCTCTGTCTTTCTTAACATATGTCAAATATAAAACATCTACTCTCCTGATCGGATCATCAACTGGTTGACGTTTAATGTGATTGAACCATCTAAGACGACTCTCGCTTATCTTTTCTGCCACTGGAGCTACACCAACATTTTCAAGGATACATTCGTTTTGCACTTTGTCTTTAAAGGTTTGTTTGGGGCAGCTGCTGATTATTGATAATCTGTTGATAAGCAGCTGATTCAGATAAGCTGCTAATCAACAGCTGATTCGGATAAACTGACTGTATGTTTGATTTGTGCGTTTGAAAAACATCTGATTTGCAGTTATTTCTAAATAAATAGTCATTTTGCTCATGTGCAGTAATGTTGTTTACAACAGAACTATTATAACAATATATTCGATACTTAAGAAACAAAAAATCACTTCAGAACATTAGAAAAAATAAGATGCACACCTCACTTAACAGTGAGTATCAAGTGTACTAAGAAGAATAAAAAAACTATTAAAACTATAATTAAAAATATGATTATATTAATTTTTAAATCCAGAAGGCGTATGTCACGAGCTACATCATCCTCCAGGGATATCATCCAACCCAGATACAATTATATAATTTAATATTTATATTCAATAAGTTTAAACATAATAATAATTTAAATATATAACTATTATAAATTTATTTACAAATATATTTATAAGTAATACTATTATAAGTAGTCAAATTATATATGTTATATACATTATATTAAATAATTTTTTTCTTAAATAAATATTATATAATAATATTTATTTAATATATAAATTATATATTAAATAAGTTAATATCCATTTAAGATAATATATAAGTATTTTAGAAAGTTGTATATTATTTATCTATGATTTTATATGATTATATATGATGTACATTATATATAAGTTAATAGCCAACATATTTATAATATACAACATAATATTTTTTTTATAAATATGTATAGATATTATTACAATATAACTTTATTATTATACTATGATATATAATTTATATAATAGATAATTTAAGGTAAATATATTTATAAAATACTTTATTAATGTATATTATTAACATATAATATAGTATAATATTAATATAATAATGAGTATATAATTTATAACATATATAATAAATATAAAATAGTTATAATATGGTAGTATCAGCAGTAGTATTGGCGAAAACACGGTAGTATTGGCAAAAATACGGTAGTATCGGCGCGGTGTTATTGGGGAAAAGCGTGGTGTTATTACAGTAGTATCGCGGAGAAGGTGTTATTTGGCGGTAGTATTGGCAGTGTTATTTGGAATAACGTGGTCTTATTTGCGGGGTCAAGGGCAGCAGGGTAAAACGATTGCAAACGCGAGTCGTAGGGTCGATCCTGCGACTGCGTTTCTTAAGAAATAAAATACGTTGTTTCGCAAAATGCAGCCCGAACGCACGAATCAAACAGGATAGCGGCGTTTTTAAAACGCCGCTTGCTGTTATAAGCTGCCCCAAACAGACCCTAAGTGTCAAGCCACTCATCCAACTAAACATTCTCGTCTCAGCAACACTGAACTTAGTTATATGATTATTTTTTAAAGACCAACATTCTGTGCCATAAAGCACAATATTAAAAACATGTGAAAAACTTTAAATAAATGTAATAGGAGGTATTTCATATTTAAGCATTTATTAAAGCAAAATAAACTCTTAAGTTAATCCCAACTATGGAGCTATTAGTTATTCATAATATGGCTATCCTTACCTTCCAATGATGCCTTCATCTATTGCCGTTTAGTTAAAATTTAGACTGTATCACGTGATCATAAACTCACAACACATTCCAAGCATTTCCTACAATTCTATGTCAATAAAAACCTCAATACATCATTTAACTAAGTGCACATCTTAAATTAATTATATTCACCAAATGCACAGCTCTTTCATAATTATAAAATGAAGAATCTAAAGTTAAGGTTTTACCTTGACTTGCAAAACAAGAAGAAGCCAGTTCCTTGCTTTTCTTCTCCAACGATCTATTCTCGCTTTCTCACTTGCAGCTGTCCCTCTCTCGATCCCTCGATGGTTGTCTCAGTCTCACGCCGCCCCTTTACGGCGAATCGTTTCACACACCTCGGCCATTCTCTCTCGCTGCCCGCTTAAGGAAACCCGTAAGGCCGTAGGACCCGAGTTGATATCTTGGAACTTAGCTCTTTAATTATTCATTTATTTATAATAAATGGTATTTAGATGTTATATTTTTTTAATTTGGGTCAATTATTTTTGGACCAAAATACTCCCAATAACATATAACCTCTTATATTCACATACTTCTCACTTTAATTGTTTTGAATCTAATTTTATGTGGGAGGCACACCGAAGCAATTTGAGGGTTTGATCAAAGAGAAAATGAGAAAGAGTGGGGGCGGGGGGTTCAAAGAGAAAATGAGAGAGAGTGCGGGCGGGGGTTTAAAGAGGAGAGCGCAACGACTTAGAGGGGGTAAAATGAGTAATTCCCGAGCTCATGCCGACCTTTTTTATATAATCATTTATTTTTTTATGTGGAGGGGTGAAGAGTCTAAAGTCTCTTCTTATTTAAAGTTACATGGGAGAATGTAGAGGCCAAAAAGTTTGTTTACATGAAAAGACTCATTTATTTATAGGAGAGGGAAAATAAAAAAGAAAAATAACTTTTATAACCCTGCTTTAAGGAGAGTTATACGAGATATTCTATGAATTATTTACATGTGGGCCCAGGGTCTTGTCGTCCTTTGATTAGGTGACTAGGGTCAAATAGGTGAATTAATCAGTGATGTCGTTGGTCTTCTGGACGGGGTCATTTATGGGTTGAGCCTTCAAGTATGGGTGTCCGGTTGGATTCTAAAGTTAGTCGGCGAAACTTGATTCGTTTGATCGATATTAGATAGTTGGATGCATTAAGTAGGTCGTCAATCCTCAATTCACGTTGGGAGAATTGCCCGACCCACAATTATGTATACTTTTAATCTTCAAAATATTGTCAAAAATTTGTCCCAATTTATATTTAGCGGCTTGTGTGAATAAATGAAATAATATAGAAAATAAATAATAAAAATTCATACTAGAGGTACTACGCAGGTATGCATATCTTTTCAAGAAGTATGGGATTTTATTTAAAAGCCCCAGTATCGGTCTCACTAGAAAAGTTGAGTTTTTTAAATTAGACTTGCAAAATTATATCTAAATTGCTGATAAAATAAAAGTAGAGCAATGTTGAGATGATTGCAAAGGCCAAGAAAAAATTAAAGCAGAAAGAAACGACTAAGATTAACGATTAAACAAAGTAAATTTAACGAGTTTGAATATTATGAAAATATATTTCCCCTTATAATGAAATATTAATTTTTGTAGGGTTTGAATGACTAAAAATAAGATTATGTATTGTGACAAATAGAAACATTATTATTCTTTACCCTCTCCTGGTGGTAGCAAAAAATGTTGGCTAATTTAAAGTTTTTCACCAGCTTTTGTAGTGGTGCTGAGTAAATTATGGCCTCTCACATCCAGATTACTAGTACGCCTAAAATATATAATATTTTTATACATATTTTTATACATATTTTTTAGATATAGCGCTTTAATAAAAGATATTTGTGTGTTTTTTCTTTCTGGTACAATCAAATTGATGAAAAAAGCTAAAAAGAATAAAAATGGTCAAATTTGGAACAAAAATGAACTAGGGCGCCGTAGGCGCCCAACGACTAGCGCTTAAGCTCCAGTTATTCAAAGAAAGTCGTGCCTAAGCGTCAGGTACTCCGCGCTTAAGCGCGAGAAGCAGTTATTTGATGATTCATTAAATTTAGACGACTTTTTTAATAGGCTTTGTTGGCCAAAGGAAAATATGTTGAGATTTTCATACCTATTTTATATTGTTTTTGATGATATTGCACTTTAAAGAAAGTTATGTTTGATGTTTTGTTGCAGGAATGATAAATTAGGGTCATTGGAGCAAAAAGATGCAAAAATGAGCGAATTTGGAGCGAAAAGGACCAAAATGTGAAGATTTGAACTTGGACGCCGACGACGAGCCCAACGGCGCCGACGGCGGACTTTTTCTGAGACTCCGGATTTAATTAACTTAGAAGGCCCGCCGACGGCAAGATCGACGGTTATGTCCAACAAGGCATTGGATGAGGACAAATTTTTTAGGGGTGCTTAGGCAACTCTTGGGAAAACTCATTCACAACTTTAAAAGAAGATTTTGCCTGAAAATTAAAGAGGCTCTAGAGGTCCTGGAGGTTAGAGAGGTTTCATTAGTGTGTTGAGAGTTTATTAGAGGCCTAATTGTGAGGAATTCTTCGAGAGATTGTAAGAGTGGAGGAAAAGTGAGAGATTTCTTCTTCCTTGCCGCTTCGAAGATGAATTATGTGTGTTATAAAGAAAGGAAGAGATTCAGAGGAACTTCGAGGAGTTTGCTTAGGGAGAAATTATAGATAAGTGTTATTTACTTGTTGTAGTTGTATGACTTTGCTTTTATATATGAATTCCAAATTTTGTTGTGTCTTCCCATGAGTTCTGAGTAGTTTTCTCTCTCTTTCTCCTTGTCTTGAGATTTGTGAAATGATGATTTTAATTGGTTGAGCCATGAAAATGTTAAAGAAGTTGTGATGATCTTTTCATGTGCTGAAGTGTAGATGTTAGCCCTCAGGCAAGGGGAACGTGGGAGCTCCGAAGTGAGAGCCGGTATCCTCCCAGCCTAGCCGCAGATTCAGTAAACAAGCGTAGGATTAGTCAATGTTCTTTATGCCTAGATCAAAGGGTAAAGAATAGGTATGCTTCTTTTTGGCACAACACAATTTGAACTGATTCATTTTATCCATTCACTATAATTTCTTAACAAGTAGAATGATGATTTCTTATATATTGAATATCACATTAAAAATCTTATTAGTATAATTAGTTATTAAAATTACATATTTATTTCAATTGTCTATTAATGACAGATAATCAATTTGAATTCCATTGTTGCGATTAAGTATTGCTTTTCTAAAATCTTAGTTCGTAGTTCTAATATTACTCCCAATGGGATCGATATCTAGGACTCCATTAGAGTCATATATTACTTGAGCGATACTTATACTTGTGTTGGTAAGTGTGACTTTACCCTTATTGAATATTTTATATATACATCTTTATCGAATCTATAACTGTTATTAAGTTTTTGGTGTTGTTGCTGAGGAATTAAATATGTTAGCAGCAGTATTAAATACTTGTATTTTTAAGAATATATAAAGTCGTTGTCATTTGCCCAGAATGAAGTGTGACACTCACTAGTTAGGTGAAATCATAGCCCTCCCGGGTCTTTATGTTTCTCAACGGATTTTAACCTCATAAGTGGTCAATTTGTAAATTCAATGAAGAATCAGTGAAAATATCATGACAATTTTTTCAAGTAAATAGAAATTCTTGAATCATTCTCATCCCACAAGATTAATTTCTAAATACAAGAAGAAAGAGAGCGAACTACTTAAAATTCATGGAGAATAAATAAAAACACATAATTTGTATTGAAATCCAAGTCTTAGAAATTAAAAAAAAAAAAAACTTAAACACAAATGCAAAATACCTTATGTCTTCTCCCCAACATAAATTTTGGAGTCTCCTTAAGGATTTCTCCAAACTCTTACTCTTACAAACACAAAACACGCTTAAACACAAAAGTATAACTTCTTAAAGCCTTCAAATGCTACCAAAAATTCTTCTCTTTCATCCCACTTTCATCCCTATTAATAGATCTCTGAAAATAATAAAGGGTTGCTTCAAACACCCCTTCAAAATTCGGTCAAATTTATTGAATCTTCTAGAAGGGTAGTTACTGGTGCTATAGCGTCAATCTGAGTGCTATAATGCTCATTAAGCCCATCTGTGGCGTTATAACGCTAGAGAGCAAAGCTATGGTGCCATATAAAATGCATCATGTTTGCTTATTTTTCCCTTATTTTCTCTAAATGTTCATTCCATGTACTGAAATCAAAAAACATACAAAATACATTCCTTTAAAGTGCAATATCTATAAAAAATATACATAAAATGATCATAAAATATTCACTAAAAATAAGTAATTTTAAGGTGGATCATTCCCCCAAATTTAAACGTTATTTATTCTCAAGTAACTCCTTTATACTATGTAAAAATTATAACTTGTGGAAGTGAGTTTAATTTAGAGATTCTAAAGTTTTTTTTTTATAAATGTGATAGTGAAACTTTAGAAAAAAAAAATAACTTAGGTTAAAACTAAAATGTAAGAATATTTAGTAGTCAAGCCTAAAAGTCCTAATTTTCTATTTATTTCAAGAATAACTACAATTTTGTTATATTTTGAATGCTTAGAAGTATTTGAGTAAACAGAACTTCATGAGGACTTTAGTAGTAAGGATGCTAATACTTTAAGCCTTAATTCAGAAATGTTATTAATTTTTTTTACTTAAGATGATTCGAGTGGAACCAATTTTTTATTATGCATCTTCTCAAGCTTCTCCTCACATATTTTTCGTTTTTGCTCTTTTTTTTTCTTTTTTTTTCTTTTCTTTTTTCCTTTAAGATCTTTTTCAATTCTTTCTTTTTCTTTTTCATATCATGTGAGAATTGTTATATTTGGATAGCCTTTAATGATTTTGAACTCCATTTTCTTCTTCTTAAAGTTAAAAACTTGTCACATTTCCTTATTTTGACAAAATTGAATTAACTTTGAAAAAGATCTTTCATAAAGTCACAATTCCTTCTTTTTAAAGTAAAAATCAAAGTTACTTAATATTTCCAAAAATATAATTTTCTTTACTTTAAATAGTGAAAACATAATTTTATATTCTTATACTAAACATCTTAACTCTAGAACTAACAATTATTATTAAAAATTTTTAACTTAAGTTTTCTATAACAATTATAAAATTTAAAATATAGTTATTTAATGTTAACCTAACATATCACAGGTTATGTTAAATTAATTTTTTTTTCAAAATTTAGTTCTATAAGGACAAATAAAGTTTAGTTCTAAAAAAGATATTTTTTCTTCCCCCTAAACTTAAATATTTAATTAATTTTAAACAAGATAGTTCAGCGAGAAATAAAATTCATAAAGTTTAAAACAAGAGAATAGTACAGGTACAAGTATTAAAAACAAGTGAGATTAACAAGTCTAACGAAAATAA